TTCATCCCACAAACTGAGCCTCCGTTTTTATGATCCCTTCACGGTCCTAGAGTGCGTCGGCCAGGTGGCTTATCGACTACAGTTGCCTGAGGAATCGAGAGTGCATCCAGTCTTCCACGTTTCACTTTTACGACCTTTTCACTCAGATGGTCGCTACCGCATCCATGACCCCTCTTCAACTGTAGCACACTCTCTAGCGATGCACCTACCGGCGGCAGTAGTCTCGCATAGAAAGATTTGGAGGAATGGGCGTGAGACACCTCAAGTGTTGATTCAATAGCAGGGACTCCCTCCTGAGGACTCAACTTGGGAAGATGAGGCCCTTTTTCGTTCACACTCCCTCACAAAGTTTTCACCTTTGACGTCCAGGGTAGCCATGTGTTCCACAGAGGAAAAGACTGAGCTTAAGGGTTTGCCAACTACTGACCCTTCGCTTACTTGCATCGACCATGACACTCATTTAATTCCTGCCGCAAGGGGATGTTGCAACCCAATCCAATGGGCCTAAGGAAGACAGGCCCAAGCGTATCAGGAAGCAGCCTCCGTACTTATTGGACTATTTTCAGTGACCTGACCTTTCGAATGAGTAACTTGGCCCAGTTCGCAGTTATTGTATGCCTTTTGATATGATCAATGTAATTCAGGAAATAGGATAAACTTGTAAAAGCTTTTATATAGCCCAAGGGGGGCGTGAATGAAAATCAGAAAATGTTTGAGAAACTTCTTTCTCTCTAATTTATCTATTTTCTCTCTCTTTTCTGTTATCGTCTGTTATCTCATCCTCCCAAATCTAGTGACTCTACAAACAACAATAACATGTATTAAACAATGCCATTGTGAAATCACATTTAGTGGTGGACCCAGGATATTATGTTTATGTTCGCACAATTAGTGGCGGGGGTTTGGGGGCAGCGCCCCCGAAAATTTTTTTTGTAAAGAAAGTTTAAATCAATGCTTTATGTACAAGGTCATGAACTCGCTCATAATCTAGTTGCTTCTATAACAAGCTACAGGCAATAGTTTGACCAATCATTCCCCCTAAATGTTACCAATCCTCCAAAACAAATATGAGAATAAACTCCAGTACATCCATACATCATCATTCTATTTATAATGGTGAATAAAAAAGTCAACATTACCTGTACAGAAGGGAAAGCTCTCATCTCTAGAGATTAACTTATTTGAGAATGTCACATCTGCAATCAATCCTCTCTTTTTAAGCCAGAATATAGGATCAAAGCTGAAAGCAAATCGCAATAAAAAAAGTAGTATATGAAACATGAATTAAAGCAAAAATGAATAGAACAACACAATAAAAAATACCAGATAACAACAAAAATAATAGAAGCTAATACCACGTTGGCAGTAGAAGACGACAAAAGCATTCTTCGATTTTTCATTCTTTGAAAATATTGCATTATATCTTCATCATCAATATTATCAAACATATCACGTTCAACATAAGTTAGCATGCATGCGTTAAACCAATCATCACTTATCCGATTGCGCAACTTATCCTTAACAAAAGTCATTGCAGAAAAAACTCGTTCAACACTAGCAGTTGCTACCGGTAGAACGAGTGCCAACTTTATCAACAAATAAACCAATGGATAAACAATATCCTTTCTCTTCTCAACCATCTTCAAAGCAAGGTCAGAAATTCTTTCCAAATTGACAAAATCAGAATCAGCTCTTACATCAACAATAAAATTACCAAGACTTGAAGAAAGAAAAGGAATATCTGCAAGCTCATTAAACTCCAAAGGATAAAATCTAGCAAACTCAATCAACTTTTCTTTGTTAAAACTAGCAAATGAATCACGAGGGTCAAGACAACTCAAACACTCAAGCAACTTCGTATTGACATTATCAAATCGATCACCCAACTCTTGAACCTGAGTATCTATCACTGTATTAAATAACTCCACCTTAAAGTAGTGCAAGAATGTGAATGATTCCAATCTCCGTCTTGATCTTCCTTTAGGATAATAAACATCCTCCATATTTGGAATGTCAATATCATATTTATTTGCAAAAATGTTCGTTTCTTGAAGCAATTCATCAAAACCATTATCTCTCACCTCTTGTAAACGAGACTTGACAACCTTCACTAAACCAATTGCATTTAAAAGGTCTTGATCTTTTCTTTGTAATGCTTGTGACAACTCATAAGAAATCCCCAAGATAAGTTGCATAAGATGCAACAAGAATGCAAACTCATAATCCTCCATGGCATACAAAATGCAACCTGCATCAGTTCTTGCAGCATCATTCCTAGGCTCGTCTTCAATAATTTTCATCAAGGAAATTATTGGAGAAAATAATGAGATAACACTTGTAACTGTACCAAAATGGGAACCCCAATGAGTGTCTCCAGGTCGCTTTATGGTTGTCTCTTGATTTAAACCTTTTCCAGTTGGTATTTCACCGCGAGCAATTCTTTCAACTATATGCTCATATTGATTCATTTGAAGAATTTCCTTCCGCTTGCATGAACCCCCCACAACGGTAGCCATCTTTTGAAGCTTGTCAAAAAATTCTTGAATCTTTTTGTGATGTTTTGCAACCTTCACAAGTGCCAATTGTAACTGATGAGCAAAACAATGAATGTATAATGCAGATTTGTTCTCTGCCAAAATCAAACTCTTAAGCCCTTTGAATTCACCCCTCATATTACTAGCACCATCATAGCCTTGACCACGACATAGTAAGTATCTAGCACAATCTAAAGAAGCTTTCAGGCGAATACGGTAATCAATTCTTTGTTGTTCAGAAATATTTGAAAAGGCAATATCAATATGTTGGTTTTGCTTCATCAAATCTTGACCAGCTTGATAAGATCTATTGTGAACACTCCTATGATCTCCAACATGAACTTTGATTCTATCCTTCTTTTGCCAATTTTTGAACCCCACACCGACAAATGCCTCCTTCGCTGAACCACTACCTCTAACCTCCATATCAAATAGATAACAATATAAGCAAAAACATGCATCTCGTGATACACTATACTCCAACCAAGAACCAAATTCTTCATACCACTTAGAATTGAATCTACGCATTTTTCCAAACATTTCCGTTTGAGGGAATGGTTTAAGAATTGGTTGAGTTGGACCCTTGAGCAAATAAGCTCTCCGAATATCCTCTCTCTCTATAGGATTTGATGTCATTGAATAAAGTGAAGGTCTTTTTCCTGGATCCGCTTCAAGATTTTCTATATTAATTTTTGCTTCAGGTGGTGATTGAAAACTTTGAAATTGAGATGCTTGTGGTGGTACACTTTGTCTTTGAGATTGAGGAGAATTTTCAACAATTGAAACATTTTGTCTATGAGGTTCATAGGATTCAGGTTCTGTATTTGTGCTCTTTTGACGTTTGAAATAAGATTGTATCCCTGACATAATTTTTCCAAGACCTGTGAAGGGTACAGAAAAATAATAGAGAGAATAAGTTAGTACTTTTTTATCCCAAATAAATATTATATGGATTCAAAATTGCAATATGGATTCAAAATTCACTATATCTGCCTGATATGATCAACGGACTTCCAAATGACAGGTCTGGAATATGAAATGGGAACAACTGCAATAATCAAAATATAGTTTAAACTTCAAATATCAAAGAGATATAACATATAAACATTTGATAATGACAGATGACAGATAAATATATATTTGATAAAAGTCCTTTTCCTTACCCAATACTTTATTATCTAATTATTTGAATATTAGGTTGCTGTTACAAACTTTGATACGTATAATAGAGAGAATCCCAAGATTTCAAACTTGGTGTTAAAAAGCCGTTTCTTATTAATTAAATAACCAAAAGGCTGGGGACTATGAGGCTTTCATTTATATTTTTGTTGAGGCAAATGTTTGTGGAAAACTTTTATGCTTAAAGGAAATGCTTTTCTCAAATTCACAACTAGTGGGGAACTTTATTCACATTCTGTTCTAAGAATAAATTGAGTAATTAGCTCATTATAATATGATTGAACCAAACTATTTAGATGTGAACAATGATGTATATTTAGATTGAACCAAGCTATATTTATAGATTTTATCTAACCGACTTTTCCTAATATATATTATAATATTTAAACTTCTACCACTTTCTTCAATTTTCCACAGCCTTCTTTTTCTTCTTGCTTTTCAAAATTGTCTTCTCTTCTTTTTTTGTTTCTTTGACTAATTTATATTATTTAACCAACTTCTACAACTTTCTACCAATCTGTTGCCAATTTCCGTGTTTTTCTGGTAGATGGTAGATAGCTCTTATAGCTTCTTCATTTTTCTAGACTAACAATAGGAAAAAATTGATTTCCAACAATTAGGACTCAAATGAAATGAAAGCTCACAGAGCCATAAAGTTATAAAATGGCAATGACAAAAGAACCAAGAACTACACAACAAAAGAACTAAGAACTACACAGCAACAAAAAAAACAACAAAAAAATTAATGAGGTGGAGCTTGCCTCAAAAGCCAAATCTGCTTGCCTCAAAAAAATTAGAGTTTTGATGTGCTTGCCCTCAAATCTGCGCTGAATGGAAGGAAAGATGCTGAATGGAAGCCAAATCTGCGCTCAAATCCGCTTGCCCTCTTTTGCAGAAAGAAAAATGAGTGAGAGCGTAGGGTGAGAGAGGCTTGCCCTCTTTTGCAGAAAGAAAAATGAGTGACAGAGGTACGGTGAGAGGCTTAGCTGTGAGAGAAAGTATAAAAAAAAAAAATAAAAAAAAAAAATTTACAAATTTCCTGTGTCCGCACGTGCAGTCATTTGACCCAACGTGGGTCCGCGCCTGATCAAACTTATAACTACTTGGTCACGGATGCTCTGATACAATATTGAATCCAAAAGTTTAAATTGGTAGATAAAAGACACATTAATGAGTTTTTATATATTTCTAAAACAGCAATCCTCTATAACATCTATCTTGCTGCTTAATCATTCATTTATTTACTCCATCTTCTAGCTTAAACTATATTTTGTTAACCTCTTGCAGGAAAGCTGAGGAGAGAAATGGCTGGTGTCCTGATCCGCATACTCCACCTTGTGCTGCGTAAGCAAATGTTAACTTTTAAAGGATTTAGTTCTTAATGATATGCATCTTTCTTCTTCCATTGTCTTGTAGGCTTCTAAAAGGATCATACATATATCACTTTGATTTTTGAAATGCTCAGATTTGTTGAGATCATGGCTCCTGTATTTTCCCGAGATGCATGGCGCTGTGTATGGCATATGATACAGGTTTTATGGCTTATTAGCGTCTTCTAATGCTATTTTCACTACATGATCAATTCATATCTTACTTGTTTTTCATATGCTGCCTTACAGAATGACCTAATTCATGGATGGGGTCTTGATTTTGCTCTCAGAAAATGTGTAGATGTTAGTATTTATGCCTTTCTTTTATTAAGTACATATTTTGCCATGATTGGATCTAATGAGATTTATTTTCTTAATTGTATGCAGCCCCCTCATGAGAAAATAGGAGTTGTTGATACTCAATGGGTTCTTCACCAAAGCGTTCCTTCACTTGGGAACCAGGTAAATGAAGCTTTAAAGATTTTTACACATTGTCTTTTAACATGGATTAAATGGTTTTGTTTTCCTTGTTATTTTTCAATAGGGGCAAGCAGAGAGTGGAAAGGCACCATGGGAAGGGGTATGTATGAATTTTTGTTCCTATCACAATTCAATTGCGATTTCATGTGGTTGTACTTTTTTTTTTTTTTTTAGTAAAGCTTCATTTGGGTCTCTGTAAAATTTAAAGTGGACCCATTTTAGTTCTTTTGGCGGACTAATGTGGGTCTTTTTTGAATTTGTGAGGGACTACAATTTTAACTAAATGAGTTCATTTTGAATTTTTTAAGGACCTCAGGACTAATTTTTTGTGTGTAAGGGACTAAAGTGAGAACCATATTTTTTGTTAGGGACCCAAAAAGGACTTTACTTTTTTTTTTTTTTTTTTAAGTTAACCCAACCCTAATTATTTCTTTGAAGCGAGTTGGCTACCCGTATCCCACAAGCTTAGATCATGTGCTTTTACTTTTTTACCATTTTACTATTGATACATGGAATAGAAACTTTTTAGCATTAATTTTGAATTTACATCCATATGTATTATAAGAACAATGATTTCAAACTTTGCTTTGTATCAGGTACGAGAGAGGTGTAACAAAGAATGGACAATGTTCCAAGAGCGTATGGCTAATGCAGAGAGGGACTATTTTCAGGGGATGGGAATTATTCCCCTTAACTCCACAGGTAGCTAAGGCGATGATTACGCAAAGAAAGGAAGCTTTCAAAACTACCCCTTACAATTCACTTCTTTGTTAAACAGAGTAGCTTGAACAAGATTAGCTAGATTCTTCATTCATAATCATGACATTGCATTAGTTCATGTTATTGAATAATAGCTCTCCCAGCTCATCAAATACGCACGTGGAAATTGAGTCTGAAAGCAGTTGCAGTTAGTTCGAGTGGTTCAAGTCTTGTTAGTTTGTTATAACGTGTTAACTGTGCTGCTTACGTGTATTTTCGTTATTGCTCATCTGAAGTCAAGTGTGAATTTGTAATATAAATATAGTTTTCCTGTACAATCAAGATTCATTATACAGAAAACACAATTACTCATTTTCTCAGATTCTTTACATGTGAATAGGAAGCAATGTTCCAGTACATTTATATGCTTTTCAAGAATTTTAAACATCATTACAGATTACTATAATCAACAATTTTTTTATATCCCTTCAATGAATTTGCATCTCAATATTAAAAGCAAATACTTTTAAGATAAAATCACTCCCCATTAAATTTCGTTTCGCGAGGATGGTGATTAGGAAAGACACAGGCCTTTGGAGAAAACCCACTTTAGCTCTTAATAGTCGATTCAGAGTCAACAACATACCTTTATCACTAAGGATCAATGGGTTTGAAATTCAAATCTTGAACTTAGGAACAGGTTAACATGAACTTTGAAGAATGAGCAAGGCAAATTGAATTTAGTTATTAAATGAAACTAAACTTCACGGTTGTAGATAACTCAATTACAGAGTTATTGGTCAAAGTGCTCCAATGATCTACCAATTTCAAATTAAAGCAAGAAAGACTTTCATCAAAATAGTTTCCCTTTTGAAGTAAGAGAAGCTTCTCCTCATACATGGCAACATGTGAACAATTTTCATGAGAAAATTTACTTTCTCTCTAACAATCACACGAAACCAACTTTTCATTGCCATTTTGTTTAAATTGATATCTCCCATATTAAATCCTATAGACTCTTGATTCCTAATTTCCTATTAAAGGTCCAATTTTTTTATTTTATTTTTTTAATTTCTTAGAGGTGTCCTTATCCATTTGGATGATACTAATCCCCTTCACAGCATAGAACGTGAAGGTTTTTGCTATTGGCCCTATTCAAAGGTAAACATCAATGTCCAGCGATGGTGCTGGTAATGGTATCTACGAAGCTTATGGTAGAGATGACTGGCATTGATAGTCCAGAACCTCCAGCCACAATCCGATGATGCACATAGAAGGGGTGTGATATGTGGGAATGGTGAGTTCTCTGAGACTTGGTAGGTGTGGTGAAATGTAATGAGCAGGAAGTGTCTCCCCGTGGGCACTGTACGTGCATTTATACAGGCTTTCGGGAGTAGTTATCATGGAAGTCGTGGTCTTAAAGCGGTTTTCACAGAGGGTGATCGTGGGTAGCAAAGAGTGGAGGGGAGAATCGTCATTATAGATCCACGACCCGAGCTCATGGGCTGAAGCCTTGGCCGGATAGATCTTCACCAAGCGGGAAGCCCTTTTGGAGAAGGTGTGGCATCTTCTCTTTTCATATATAAATGCCCATTTTCCAACTTGGGTGTTCATCTTCCAGTCTCTAACTTCCCGGTGGATGTTCTACGCCACTTGGAGGATCCTTCCAAGCTTCATCCTCTCTGGTGGCGCTTTTTTTGTATTTTTGAGTTGATTGACCAAGCTAGTGGGCTTGCATACTTTTATCACGTTTTCTTTTGCCTTTTTGTTATGTTTTGGAATGCTACCGATAAGGGTAGAAATTGCCATGGCTGGGTACCTTTGAAAGATCGTCCGAGTTTGAGGTAGTGTACCACCTTCGAAGATAACTGGAAAAATTCTAAATCGGACTTCTTCAAAATTTGGGCAACAAGAGACTTTGTTAATCAGGCTTCGTGCTTGGGGAAGTCGGGTGCCTTGGACAACAAGGGACTTAATCACGTTTGCCTTAGACAACGGGGGACTTAATCACGCTTCCTACTTGGGAAAGTCAAGTGCCCAGGGTGCCTTTTCTAACACCCCATTACCGGATCGGTGTGTTATCATCAATTATGATATTAAGCGCGCTCACGATCTCAGCAGTTATTTGAAATTACAGGAAAACTTTTTCTTTTTAATATTGTTTGCCCTTTTAAAATAATCATATTAGACAATATACTAACTATGATCAGTACTCAAAACTTATTGCAGAATTATAAAACCATAAGCTTAATACCATACAACTTAAATTTGAAGGTTGCTAAGTGGTTCCCATAAACCAACAAAGCTTAAAACTCATTTTATCCATGATTAGCACTAAATGCCTTCACCTTTTTATTTATGCTAAGAATTTTATACTTCCTCAATGATTCTCATTTCTTACTATGTTATATATTTATTTGTTAGCTTCGCGTGGGTTCAAACTGCGCTTAATTTGGAGCACCGTAGCTCAAGTTATGAATTTTCTAAGCAAAGGGGTGCTGATTCCATAGGGGCCCCGCGCTGATAGCGCCAGAAAATAGGGGAACAGCGCCAGAGATACGATTTTCCATTGATTGGTGGCGCTAATAGCGCCAACATGGCACCAAAAGCGCCACAGATATGGAGATAGGCACCAAAACAAGGAAATTTAACCTACTTTGGTATTTCCCTCATAACTTGAGTTATACTAATCCAATTTACACAACCTTGGTCTCGCTGGAAAGCTAAAAAAAAGATCTATAACTTCCAAGAAGGCCAACGGGTCCAATTCTATCATATAAGAGATAAAAATTGGGCAGCACTCTATTTATATTTTCAACAATTACCAATTCTCCAATCATGTACCTAATCAATTATCCTCCCAATATTCACTTGACTATTTCACAACTCAACACATTCAATATGTCATTGACCGTTCCATCAATTATACACCTACATAAAATATTCTTTACAACAACAACTAATTCTTAACCATAATCCAAGTGGCATGGACATCCCCCATACTCACCTATATCCTAAAATGATAAAATGAGGCATATACAATTGGAATCCAAAATACAACTAATAATCAAGAGACTTAGGATTACATATGAACAACAAAAGCATGGTAAATACAACTACATGCAATACCATGTTCATATACTAAGTCATATACACAATGAATGTCGACATATACATATACATATACAAATCTCCCAAAATGACATATGAATCTCATGCACCAAAATCTATCTCCACCACTAGGTGAGCTTCTTGCCCGAACTTCCAATGTGCTCACCTGAACCTGAAATGGTTCCCCAAAGAGGGGTGAGATATACATATATATCTCAGTAAACCACACGCATGTCAATCAACATGTCAATAATGCAAGAACATACTATTACACACATTTTCAAAGAGCACACATCCAACCATCACCCCCAACTTGGGCATGGTGGAACACACAAGGAGATTAACCTCAGTTCCAAGAATTTACCTCAACTCCACAAGCAATGCTCTCCAACGTAAGCTCCAAGCTTAATCCACTTCTATTGAGTCTGTGAGAGGTAACCTATAATGATCAAACAACAATTATCATCAACAAGTTGATCAACGAGTCACAACGATTTTATAACCCACAATAAACCTCACCATTATATCCAACACTATCAAACCATTTGACATACCCAATGGGCACCTTACCACAATTTCTCTCAAATGTGCTTACATAGCCATTAATGACAACATGCAAGGTCCAAGACAATTCCAATGATTCAAATATGTTTAATGTTCCTCTAACCTCCATATTAAATTCCCCAACAACTACATATAAGGTCCATCCACCATTTTAATGACTTCCACCATAAATTTCAACACTTTCCAACCATAAATTTCACTAAGTTAAAATTTACATGTCACTATAATTTTTATTGGTTCAATCATCATCATAATCATTCTAAGCATTTAATTCCAAATGAGACATACCATTTAATGCTCCTAACTATCACAACTCATCAACACATAACCAAACACTCATCCATTTTATGATTTCTAAGAAAACTCAAAGAGAGTGTTGAAACTTACCACCAATGGTCTTCAAATGATCCTAGGATAGGTTTACAACCAATTAATCAAGCCAAGAGAGCTCCAAAGTTACTCATCTACTCAACAAATTCGAAATGCTCAAGGAGGAAGAACTCTTCACACAATGCACCCCACAAGATGCAATCAACATGAAACACACTCACAATCTCAAGGGGAACAAGTTTGTAGTTTATAGTTTCTCCTAAAAATAGCTCTAACTCAAAGTGGAATTTGAGAAGCTCAAAATGCCCTAAGAATCGTGGAGGGCTGCGAGAGGAAGAAGAAGAAAGGAGAAAGAGTGTGCTGAAAAAAAAATGACTTTACATGTGTCTTGTTCTCTCATGTAAGTGAAAGATGGATCCCACTGGTCACTTAACTCACTTAAACTTACTCATTTAACCCACCAATCATCACTAAATTTATAATTCATTAATTTTATCCCAACTCCTCATATTTTTATTTCCTATAGCATAATTTTATTTTTCACGTTTACCGATAAAATTTACATCGCAATATTTCATCTGGTAAAAATTACTATTCATCAAAATTTCTCAAAACATACCTACGAACCCCAAATTTCGTACTAAATTCATTTCCAATATTATTTTTCTCAATTTAATCTCTGATTTATCATTTCACTGTCCAGGGTTACACAGTTGAAAATTTACCATTTTGCCTCTGATAGGTATTTTGACCCCAAACCTCAAGATTTTCAGTAATTAAACCCTCTCACCCTCAATTTAGCATTTAATATCACAATTAAATATGCAAGATGTTATACCTCTGGCAACAAGGGAGTTCGTTAATCACAATTTTTACTTAGGCAAGTCGAGTGCCTATGGAAACAACAGACTTTGTCAATCCTGCTTCCTACTTGGGGAAGTCGGGTGCCTTGGACAACAAGGGACTTAATCACACTTCTTACTTAAGGAAGTCGAGTGCCCAGTGTAATACCCTGTTACCGGATCGGTGTGTTATCATCAAATATGATATTAAGCGCAGTTACAATCACATGGATTAGTTAAAACTACGGATAAACTTTTTCACAAAGCATTGTTCATTTACTTTTAAAAATTAAACTGTAATTATAACCGTGTAACATTATCTAAAATGAGACCACTTTGCTTAACAATTAACTTTAACCTTTTCATTAAGATAAACTAGACATCTAGGGCTTTTCGAAAA